CAGCCATCTGCACGAACAAGCTGAAACACAGGAGCACGGCCAAGGCCACATACCACGGCTGGCTGTTGTCCACAAGTCCAAAGCAGAACAAGAACACAGCCTCGAAGAAGAGCGACAAGAACTGCGCCCAAATGCGGCCGCGGAAACCGAACTTCTTGAAAAGCAGGTCAGAGGTGATGCCTCCCAAACTACGGGCGAAAAGGTTCATCAAACCGAAAGAGCCCGCCAATGCTGAAGCATCTGCTGCTGCCATCTGGAAGTACGTGCGAAAGTGCGTGGCCAACTGATTGTTCATCGCTAGTTCCTGAGTAATAATTTGGTAAAGCGACAGGGGGCCTGTTGGACCCCTGTTGGTCGCTAGTTCCTAAGTGGTGTAGATTGGATTAACATTCCTTAAAGATCACAATTTTGAAAATCATCAACACACATGTTGTTTGGTACAGCGAATTAACCTCACGGACTACGCAGACAACCCCAAACCGCGTTCATGCTTGTCTGCTGGCACAACCGGCTGCTCAAAGTGTCATGTGCCCTGAGAATGAAACGTCATTTAAAACAACAGCAGCGCCCGAGCATGAATGCTGCCGAATCTCAGCGCCGAAGCACGCTGAGTACTGGGCAATCATCACGACCACACGAACGTCCTCAAACAAACAGCGATTTTCTATGCATGTCGACATTAATTATCTACACATTATTCTCCAGCCATACGGCTTCCTGTCCTTGAGCACTTCACAATAGTCCATCATGGATGGTTTCTGGGTTTTGCCCGTGACGGACACGTCGAAGCGCCTGGTCGCGGCAATGTTCCGTGCAGCTTTCTACCCTCACCTCTCAAGCTGACATGCGCCTGGATGTAGGGGTGTCCCAGCAAAGGAGCTTCAAACTGATAGCGACGATCAGGAACATCACCGCTGGGACGATCATGGCCAATCGCCAAGCAGTGTCCGGGAGAATGCCAGATTCGACCATGGGATTGAAAAGTACACTCATCATGAAAATTTGCGTGACCTGAAGTTCGAAATAACGTTGCATCTCTCTTTGAGTGACTTGGGGCAAGTACCTCTCTGATTGTTTCATTGTTTACCAATGCGGGGCAAGCCCCGTAATGGAAGCACGTTTGTGGTTTATTGTGTTTATTGCTAAGGTTGCGTTCTCTGCTCAAACGCTCGTTTTCTCATCAGCTTGTTACTGTTATGTTTTTGGCCATTGCAATGACGTCACGAAGTATCGCCGAGATTTAACTTCTATCCCGTACGAGCATGGCATGCTGGTCATGCATTGCAGTGCCATCAAAATCTGCACTCGCCAACAATCCAGGCTACATGAAAACCACATTCAGCCAAAATTGAAAGCGCTGGAGTTCCGATGCATGTGCTTGAGGGGGAACACAAGCATGCTTGCACTACCGTCTGCACTCTGCACTCGCCATTTTGATCAGGTCAGCATACAATAACCTTGCATGCTACACCCAGCTTCTTAGCACGCAGAAGGTTGTAAAGCGCAGCCGATAGCTTGGACCTTCAAACCTTCATACCATCAAACGGACAAAAAGCTGGGAACAGGAGCAGTCTGCAAAAAAAGACAGCTTGTACCCCGTATATCCCCTATCCTCCCCCGGCAAGGTAACCGGCGGAGGTAACCCGCTACAGTTGGGCCACGGGCTACGTCGATGAACGACAGACAGAGAGGGGGTGGTGGGGAGACAAGCGCGCGAGTAAAGGTTTCCTCATGGCGGCTACCCCCACAAGGGAATCTGCGGAAGTAACCTGCGGAGAGGTAGGCCGCGAGCTACGGGAGGGAGCAGATGCACGAATGGAGGCTTTCTCATGGCAACTACACGCGTCACAAGCTTTTGAGGATAGGGCACCTTTTGGCACCGTTGCCACACACGCCTCACAGCAAGCCACCTTCTTCCCAGGCATGTACTTGAGGGGTGCGGGCATAGTATGCATCAAGGACTGCTTGGCGGACTACAGCAAAGTGCTGCAGGACACGCCTTTCGTAGTCCACACTGCGGCATCCAAAGCGTGACTGCAACGCTCAGAGTAGCTTGCTCGTGTCAATCTTGATTAAGAAACACGCGAAATTGGACACGGTGCCAGGATTCGCACAGGCGATGCTCAGACTTGGGGCCTCGGGGGCCTACTCCACTCTAAACGCCTGCATCCCGACGCAGCCAAACCCAAGGCGCATCAGCACCCTAACTTAGAAAGCCAGCCGCAGACTTCACCTTGCCACGTGTTCTGACGGATACGGACATTCCGCAGCGCGCGTCGTTGCAGCTGGGCACGCCAGAGCACCTTTGTGGCCCGCATGCCAGCTCGGAACTCGTAGCTTTGACTGGGCGGGAAGTGGGCCAAGGGGAGGCAAAGCGGGGCTTACGGGTGATCCGTTTGTACAGCAGAGAAATCAGACACCTCATCAGCTCGAGGCAAATGGAAGCCACTTCCCAAGCGATCTTTCCCAAGACACAGAATGACCGAAGCTTGCGCTTATTAGCCAGGGACGCCGGCGTGCGACAAAGCCTAGTTGAAATTGCTTGGCCTTCGTGCGAACGCTTGTCGGCAGTGGGCCTTACAACATCACGGATTTTGGCACTGAGGTCCACGCCCAAGACAAGGAATGACATCTTTAAGGCTGCCGAGGCCGAAGCCGAGCCTACAAAACTCGTTGCGGTACCTGTCAGTAATCAGGATTTCCAATTTCCCGCACTTTCCAACAGGCCGAAGCTAGCAGATCATCACGCCCATCTGCACATAGCGATACGCTTAAGCGGCAGGGCGACAGGAAGCAGCTCGGTCATCCACAAAATTGCATTGCAGCAAGTTTTGCTAGCAGCCGCGAGCAGCCTCATGATTCTTGATAGCCTTTCTGGGGCCGGCCAAGGGCCAAGAGGAGAATGAGTGCTAAGGGCCTGAAGGCAGCACTTTGAGGTATTCTGCACGACACAACTGTTGGCTTCTCGCGCGTGTGGCCACCATAGTGGAGCCATCGGGTTTGCTGCATCGAGATCTTACGGGCAGGTGAGATCCACTGATTCGGGACGCCGGTGCGTCTGAGAACCGCCAAGGCTAGGGCAGGATCCACAATGTCACAAACCACAACAGGACCTTTGTGCTCAGCATGGCGATCAGCATGGCGCTCAGCCAAGGAGATGATGGCTTGTGGGGCATCCCGCCCCTTGAGTCCACCATACCAAGTGGTAGGCACGCGCTGAAGAGCCCACTCGCGGGTTGCCTAGCATCTTACAAGGGTCGAACAGATGATCCTCCACACGATGCTCTGCACCATTATTGGCCTAAGTTTGGCGACGTCGGCACAGCCTTTTTGGACCAGGGCACCCTGCTTTGGCACAGGGCACCCTGCTTTGGCACGTGCACCCGCATGTGGCGCAAAAACAGCAGGAAGTTCACCGCAACCAACGGTGCACAAGGGTGGCAAATGCCTTCCAAGCAGTCAGGGACATGGCTGCAGCTTCACTGCCCGACCACCTCCATGGCCCTGCGCTGCTGCCAGCCATGTTGGCGGCCACAGCAGCTAACTCTCCACCAGAAAGCTGTTGCCACACAAGCTCGGGGTGGGCCCAACAGCCTGAGCCCAAGCATCTACAGCTTGGTTTTGTCTCTGAACAGGGGGCCTGCTCCAGTAGCGCTGCCAAAAAGCATGTAAACGCTTGAAATTTTCACAATTGCTTATATAGCCGAGCTAAACTGTTTGCTTGCCATCAGGGATTTCAGCACGCTCGTCTCACCACATTTGGCCATTCAGCCCGCCAAGCTTGCAGGGCCTTGCTGGCTTCAGCTTGCACATGCTCATCAAGGAATCTGCGGGCGTGCTCTTCAACTTTAGGCTAGGGACAGCTAGGGGGAACGGCACGGGCCCAAGAAGAGGCAATCTTGACGGGTATCCTTATGGAGTGCAAAGAGCCTACGCAATTCGCGTACTCTACCACAGAATTTAGCCATGATACACGGGGCAAATGATTTGCGCATGGGATGCTTGCGGGAATCAAAGGTTTGGACAAAGAAAGGCGTGGAACCCTTAGGCCTATGCACAGGTGGGGGGCGAAAACAGCCATTGCTTTGACTAGCCACACGGAACTTCCCTTTAGTATGCCAGCAGAAGTCGTTCCATTCCTGTTCTGTGGCACTGTTAGCTGTTTTCCAGTCTTCACTGGACAAATGTTAAGGGGCCGCGTATTGCGCAGTGGGGCACAGCACGCGACGCTTGAACAGAGGTTGTGATCTATTTGCCCTGTGGGTGGGTCTAGGATCACCTGCCTCATCAAGAGCAACACTTGCGGTAAACTCATCCCCTTGGAGGAACACATGTTCATCGGGGGCGCAATTCCAAACGCCCACAGCACACCAAGGGCGATCACGCGGCAAGATAACGCTGTTCAGCAGGTATGTCTTCAAAACTCGTCTCAGTAGCGTCTGGCGCGGGTCTGTGCCAAACGACAGTGAGGAAACGGCAGTGAGGAACCACGATTCAAGATTTAGGGTGAGGAGATTACCGAACTATTCTACAGACTGGTGACAGAGCGAGGCAGGACATCGTCGCGGACAGCAACGACTAAGCCTCCGCGATTAGTGCTGCGGCGGCTGCCAGGCTGGTGCCAAGCACGATACTTACTGAGGTTTAACCTCATGAGGAAGTGCACAGCTTGTGTCGGGGTGAAGTTGGGCTCCCGCCACGCAACCACCTGAGCTGTTTCACTTTCAGCTTTCTAAGCAAATCCCACGCATGAGCGCGCCCTGGAAGTTCAGGGACCACACAGCTACAGATGGGCCAGGGTGTGGGTGGATGTTCTCTTGAGTGAGGTCTCTCACCCAGGAATCAGCCTTGTGGGTTGGCACCTCAGCGCGCGTTTTGCTTTGAGTGTGAAATTCCATTGTTTGGCGACAGCTCGTCGCCACTTGGCGTTCATTCAAGCCCAAAGGCGGTTCTTTGACTCGCAGTGCTCTTGCTCCAGCCATGACCACACTCAATCACACGCGCGCTTGAGGACTTGGGCTTTGGTCCTCCACTGATGGGCGCGCTTTGTGCAGGTGAAGCACCTGCGACATCCAGCCTTGACGTTGGTTGCTTGGTTGAGGCTGCAGCAACACACAGGTTAGGGCGGACGATGCACTCCTCACTGGGGTCAAGCTCCCCGACTGGGGGTTTGGCTATTTTGGGAAATTGGGGCCATTCCTTTTCACACTGCACGGTGACCGTGGGCTTGGTTACTGGGCCATAAGTACTGCATATTATGATTTACACCGCTGTTGTCCCGTCGAGCGCAACCCAACACGCGGAGTACCTTATGGTGCCCTGCGCCACACAATGATTGAGCAGATTCAGGAGTTTAGATGCAAGCGAGGGCTTAGGGGGGTAATTGGACTGTTTAGGGCACTGCTGGGTGGACTGCAGCTCCTGATCCCCTAATTCGGCGTACTGCGATTGTCTTTCCTGCCATTGCCGCAGTGTACGCTACAGGACTTGGGCGAGGCAATCCTCAGCGGCGGAGGCTTGTTTGTCCCAGTTTGCATCCCATTCCCAGCTTGCGCGCCAAGTCTCGCCCCACTGTTGCTCCTCACGCGTGCGCCTAGTGACAGCACGGCCGGCACCACCTCCACAAAGAGAATGGCGTTCGCGGCAAACTCAAGCAAAATGAGTTGATGCTTCATCCTTGCGCTGGGGCTCCGAGATGATGATGAAATCTGAATCTCAACGCTGCAGCCCTTGCCACCCTTCATGCTGGGACGGTACAAGTCGCATTTTGCAGGCTTACGGGCAAGCATTCTAACGGTCCACAAGTCACCGGCCTTACGACCTTTAAAGCAGTCCTGCCTGAGACAAGCGTCTGTGGCCGGTTGCGGGGACGCACTTACGATTATCGCGGTGTCGACGCACACGCATGTGCGCACAGCTGGATTTCATTTGCTTGGTGCTGCACAGCCATCCTCCTGCTGCATACATCAGGATGGTCAACAACAAGTTTTCAAGCTCGTGCAACACGCAAG